GTTCTCGGCCAGGCACCCATCTCACCCCCGTGAACCTTTGGCTCAAGCCGGTTTAGGTCGCGGCTTTTCTCCGTCTACAAGCAGCTTGCACTCTAGTGGGAGTTTTGATCCAACAAGGACTACGACACACACCACACGAGAACCATATAAGCAATGTACATAACTGACTGCATCATGCTCCATGTAGCTGTACCGGCTCAATTATGAATTGCCAAAAACAGGTTTGCCAAGTAGACTTTTCATCTGAAAGATGGGAATAGTCGCAAAACATAAAGTGTCGTATAGAAATAAACATCATGGATAATTTGTTGAGTACTACGCCCTATGTATGTGCAGTGAAGATTTTAAATAACGCAACATTAGAACGAGTTTTAGCCGGGTAGATTCCACTGCTTCAAATATGAAGTTGTGGCATACGATGTGGTCCAAGCAGATAATAGACGAATGAACGTATCCCAAAGAATATAAACTAGTGTATATGATGAGGCGTGGAAGGCCAGAGTGTTATGAATGATTTAATAAGGCTAGAAGGAGTAGAATATGAGTAATGGTTAAGGGACCCCCAGACAAGTGCATTCCAGCCATGAATGGGCCAGAGTCCAGAAGCGCAGTCCGGTAAGTAGAACACCGGGTCCGGACAACTAAAACAGAACAGTAGATCGGCGGTTCTGGGAGTGAAACAACGTAAACAACTCCCCTGCAGTAGGCTCCTGACGTTGAAAAGTGGTTGGCCAGTGAGGCCAGACGGGGGTGACCTTGGACGGAGCTTGTGACTATCGTGTCTTGCGCACGCGTGGTGGTCATGCCAGACATGACCTGTCCCCGCGGCGTCCGAGGAAAGCATGGCTAAGAAGTACAAGATCGCTACAAAGTCTTACAATAGGCGTCAATTACAGCTAAATAGCAACGAACAAAGGCTTTTGGTAATGTTTCTGATAGAGAAAATTTAGCGGTTTACAGGCAGGAAAAATGAAGGGAAAATAACCTAATAATTAAGTAGTTATTCCCATGTTTACCTTGAAAAGTCTATTTGGCACACACATGTTTTCGGCAAATCATCAGCGGGCCGGTGCAAAACTGATTGTTTCATTCTCCATGCATGAAACCAAGCGAGCAATCAGCTGACTCTTCTTAATGCTTCACTGATTGATCTGGTTGGTTTTGAAAAAAAAGTTGGTTGCATGCTTCGTGGCCTTCAAAATATATTTTGTTCACCAACAGGCAAAAGAGGAAAGTGATTTCGGCAAACGCGTGGTTGATTTGTAGTGAAAAATAGTCTGAACAGCCTAAATGCACAAGCTACGCGCGGCTTGATATCTACTCCATAAAACAGACGACATATAGCAGAACTTGGCAGGGATTAATCGCTGCGGTCCACCAAGCTCTCTTGGAAAACAAATATACATCACTACCTGTTAATTTTGCCGTTTCTGACGCGCAATGGGTTTTCTCGTTCGGACAATGTTTTCGCTAGGTGCGAGTGTAGCGCCTGCTGATGTGATCGCATTACGGGACAGAATTCGGGAAGTCCTTTTCTTCTTCTCCGATATCGGGACCGATTTCGGTTGGTCCGAGAGAACTTTTAGCTAGTTTGCCCCTCGAATGTGCCTGACGATTTTGCATAACTAGCTAACCCACACAATAAATCGCTACTTTTGACTTTACATAAACACAGATTCAAATTTGTCCAGAACGCACACAGCACAGAATAACAGTCCACAAATTGTGTGTTGTTTAACCTAACGCCCCTTTCATTATTTTCATTTCAGTTAGCAAGAAAATCGCCTACCGTCAGAGGATGATTATTCAGGCCCAGAAATATGCGCGAGGCTGGCTGTGTCGGCGAAAATGCAAGAAAGTGCTGGACGTTCTACGACAGCTGAGAACACTGGCGGCTCAGCTGGATAGTGTGAAGGCCCAGTATGAAAATCTCAATGGATACAAGGGCACCGGAATGGCAAATGTAAGCCCGCCTGCTTGTAGGCAAAACAAAACTTATCAACCTCTCTTAAGTGAACTGCACTTCGATGATGAATGCTCACCGATCGCTAGGGGAACTCAACCACAGCCGCACAGCGACTAGTAGTGTAGGTAAAGGAACACTGCCAACAAAAACAGAGGAGAGCGGAATGGTCGTTTCTGGCTCATTAATCATCATGGGCTAGCCATAACCAACGCCAGGTGGCGCAGAGTCCGA